AAACATTCCCCCAAGGTGGAGAAGATTCAGAAACGTCCCTCGATGGAAATGAGGGGCGAAGAGATGGATCAGGTGGTGTATCGTTATCTCGACATCAGCCAATTCGATAATTTCATCAAATTTTAACCACCTCAAAGACGTAAGGGGCAAGCTGCGCCAGGCATATGTTGTAATAGCGACACAACTCTTCTATCAATGGTGACAAAAGGAACGAATAGCCGATTATGAACGGATATGCGTAAAGGGCGCAAAATCCGAGACGATGAACTCGCACTTCATCGTCATTCGCAGGAACCGACTCCACGTGACTAGAGAGACTGAGCCTAGCCTTAAATTTGGCTGAATCCTCAATCGTCATTGTGGATTGGAACCTCTCAGTCACCTCTTCCGGTGCCTTGTGGAAATCGGGTTTAGCATCGGGTTACCGAGGTACAATCTCCTCTATAGTAGGGAGGGTTTCCTCCTCAACGGAAACTCTATTGTCTTTCCCCTGATCAGGGAAAATGACATCCAGAGGGATAGAATAATCTTCAATGTGAATATCTGATGAGAGGTTCGACATTGTTGTGGAAGGAGATAAAGAAACAGAGAAAGCAACAGAGAAGTGAAAAGATCCTACGAAGAAGAAGGAAAAGTTCTGCTTAGGAAGTAGAAGGAATGTGGGAAATGTTTCAAAATTAACAAACCACCCCTTATTTATAAGGATTGGAGGCACCAGAATCGAAATAACATGCCATGATTAGCACGAAGATCGAAACGGCAGAACCTATCAAGGGTCACACGGGAATTGACGCAATGCATCGGGAAACGACGTTATTATGACATCATGAAATCTCTCTTTCTCTTGGACCAGATGGCTCCAACAAATTACCCAGGAAATTCAAGGAATTTGAAATACGTGGCCCGCAGAGAGTCACGTTGCTTGATCGTTACAATGACCATAACCTGTATAATCTGCTCGATAATCTCGATCATAAATAACATTATCCGCTCATCGAACTTGCCCTAGGAAGACCTCAACAAGCGGAGGGACTAACTGTGTGGGTCAAAAAATACCTTTGATATAGGCAAGCCACGTTAGCATCATGATAGCCTTCATCGCCACTACGTGTTATCAGTAAGACTTCAACAAAGATCTGCATCAAGTGGAAGTGGCCTTGAAGCGACGAAGGGTACGGTCGAGGAGTCAGCAAAGATCAAGGTCGTGAAGTAAACCAAGGTCGAGGTCGAGTATCTTAGACATAGTTATAACGGCTAGTTTTAAGATAGGATACAAAAGAGAATATTCTAGTGGATATCCTCTGCACCTGTACTATTAGAGTTTTTAGGAATATATTCTCTATAAATAGAAAGAGACACAATAATAGGGGACAGGAGATATTCATTTGTAAGAGAAAATATTGACTTTATTGAGAGAATCCGACCCTATTGCAAACATACGAAATATACCTTTTTACTAAGATTCTTGTCTAACTTTTCCACTTGATCCAAGATCAACCTGAGTGTTCTAAGGCTTATTAATCATTCATCATTGTCAGAAGGAATATCAATGGATCTCATCCATTTTCGGGTGACTCATACGTTCATATTTAAATAAATATCATTCATTGCTATTTATTTTAGTTAATGCTATCTCACTCCCTTTGAGCCATTAAATATTGTTGACATTGTTCACATTTATTGCCACCCGACTTAACACATACGTATTATTTTATTACAAAATCAGTTATCTTGTCTTTTTGATATTAATATTAGCTAAGATTGACTCTACATTATTTAAATCTAATTGGTTGAACCCGTGTCTAAATTTTGGGTCAAACACAACTAACAAGTGATAGTGCAACGAACATTCTTATCATTTACGTGCTTTTGTAATGATATTGCTCATACGTATTTTTTTATTTTGTATTAGTTTTAGTATTTTTCATCTTCGTTAGTTGAGGGTCTATCGGAAACAGTCTCCCTACTCCTTCGGGGTAAGATCTGCGTACACACTGCCCTCCTCAGACCCCACTTATGGGATTCCAATGGGTTGTTATTGTTGTTGTTGTTGTATATTAGTTTTAGTACAAAATAATACAAAAATTACCGCGTACAAAATAATACAAAAATTACCGCGTACAAAATAATACAAAAATTACCGCACAATAGAATATAGATGTTGGTGTTCTTAATACGAAACTAAAAGTGTGTTATAGGGTTGTCCGCAAAGAAAACGAAGGTTCTCGTATACATTATAGGGTTGTCCGCAAAGAAAACGAAGGTTCTCGTATACATTATAGGGTTGTCCGCAAAGAAAATGAAGGTTCTCGTATACATTATTTTGGACTTCATGAAAGAGCTAAGAATTGTATCCGAAAGCGATTAGACAATAATACTGAAGTAGGAGCAAAACGACAAAACTTATTGGGAAATTACCAGTTATGTCCGTCTATAAGTAAATTATTACAAAAAATTAGTCAATTCATAAAATATTACCAATATTAGTCAAATAGTTATTTGTACTAAAAAAGGTCAAATTTTTGCTTTCTTTTGAGTGGCTGTTGTTGGAATAGATTAGGTACATATATCTTAAGAAGTTTGAATCTTAGTTTTGGGATGATTTGGCAGACTTTTGAGATGGTTTAAATTGAAAATTTAAAGTAGAAGATGAATATGAAAAAAGTGATATGTGAATCACCTTGTGTATCTTATATGTATAAAAAATGTATAACATATATATCCATGCATACTTGTGTGTAAAATACATGCGTGATACATGTATCGCAGAAAAAAGTTTTAAACTCGATTTTAACAATAAAATTTGATACCAAACCAATCCAAATCACCTCCAATTTTGCTTAAATCTTGTATATTGCCCCATTTATATATTTTGAACGAATCCAATTATACTCATTGAAACAAATCTTTTTTTACCTAATATTTTTTAATGACATCATTGATAATGAATTGACTCCAAACCAGTCTAACTCACCTTCAAACTTTCTCAAATTTTGTATATTGACTCATCTATATATTTTCAACGAATCACAACAATACCCATTGGAAAAAAAAATCTTTTTTAGCCTATGCTTTTTGAAATAACTAACATGATGACTAGTTGTTGGTAAATAGTATTCTTTTTTGGTATATTTCTGTAAGATTCCCAGACTTATTTGGTAACGCACACATGTTTTGAAGCACTAGTTTAGTTAAGACTTGAATAAAGAAGAATTATCCCAAATAGTCGTCCACCTAATCAACGTATAATTTATGTGTACCGGCTAAAAAAAGTAAACAGTGAATCTAACCGGCTATTCGTGTAACAAAAAGCAACAACAAAGGCAAACATAAAAAAAGAGATTTAATCGCTAGAAGCACTAGTTTAGTTAAGACTTGAATAAAGAAGAACTATCCCAAATAGCCGTCCACCTAATCAATGTATAATTTATGTGTACCGGCTAAAAAAAGTAAACAGTGAATGTAACCGGCTATTCGTGTTACAAAAAGCAACAACACAGGCAAAAATAAAAAAAAGAGATTTAATCGCTAAAAGGAGGGGTTGAACCTCCGACCTTGTGGTTAACGGCCACACCCTCTAACCGAGCTATCCCAGCTTCTTGTTTTTATTAAGCACATAATTAGTATACTACTCATTTCTCTTTTTTTTTAAATGAGTAAACTAGATATATTATATGATATTAAACAGAGCTGAGTACATGCTTCTATTTCCTGGGACTACATAGTTCCTCTACAATCATTGACAAAAGAAGAAATTACAATAACTAGGAGGATTATAGTATGTCTCTAGTTAACTTGAATTGCTGTGTTAGTGATTTCCTGGCCTCCCTTTCTTATTCCCTCTTTGTTCATGCACTCACCTTTCTTGAGCCCAAAAAAGAAAGAAGGAAAAATTAGACAAAAACAATCTCTCACAAACAACAGTTTTGCGTCTTAATGCATTTATTTTCTTGTGTGTTGGCGTTTGAGCTTGAAATGAGAGTGGAGCTTGAAAACGAAGCTAGCCTAGAATAGCAGCCTATTTTGTTGCCAAAAAGATCACTTTTAGCCGGCGGCCGAAACTATTTATCTCGTAGTCGCAAAAGAATATAAAATTTGTATATTTATTGTACATAACATGCAGGGAAAAAAAAAATATATATATATATATACACACACACATTTTTCCGGCTATTATTTTGAAAGCAGCTATACAAATTTGAAGCACTTTGAACGCGTAGCTGCTGCAAGAGATTTTACTGCTACTGAAATTTGTTGTACAAGAAAGAACTTTACATGGAAAACAGAAATTGCTAGTCACTACTGAAATTCAATTGTTCATGGACTGGGAGATATTTTGGAATCTCATAAAAATCCATTTACCCGTTCAACAAACTTGTTCAGATTTCAGAAATATGTATAAATTTTAGTTGATTGGGGACTGACAGATTTTTGGAGAAAGAGGGGCTTGAATTTATCACATCATAGCTTCATTTTCTCTGTTTCTTTATGATCTTGTACCCTGTGTAGGCTTACACAATGTCATTTCTTCATGTGATTGAATTTCCTAACAAAAAATGATAAATCCACCTCCTCAAGGTATGATGGCTAGTGTGTAGAAAGCCAGGATATATATATTCGTAGAAGCAAATATCACTCGATATCATTTGTGTTAGTAGTCCTGTATGTGGGCAAAATTTGTATGCTTACCATCTTATATTGTCCACATTTCAGATGTCAAATCCTAGGCATGCACAGGGAGGAGAGAGGGGTGTGGGGGGAATGTGTTGAGTCCCATATTGGCTAAGAAGGAAAATTGTACTTCTCATATGGTCTTAAACAGTCCTCGCCTCTGGAGCTAGTTTTTGGGGTTGAGTTAGGCCCAAGGTCCACTTTCTTATCAATTCGCCATTTTCCAACTAGGCTTGTATTATGCAAGACGAATCTGTTGGCATTAGGTAGCAATGTAGTGTTGTATCACAAGAACAAAGGAAAGGAAAAGAAAATCCTGGACAGCACAATAACGAGCACAAAAATGTTCTTTTAAATCAGCAAAACCTCTATCACAATTCAACAACCTGCATAATGTCCCAAATGACATTTGGAGTAAAAGGCTTAAAACTAACAGAAATAAGATAATCTGTATGAGCTTAAAACATGAATCGACTTAAAAAGGATGGACAACATTTCCATCCCGAGGAAAAACCAACTGAAAATTTTGGGGACAAACACTTGTAAAGAATGAAGTCAATGTATCTCTTTTCACGAGCATTGAGATGCTTCATCTGAGAAGTGATCGTGTAAAATGCTCGCGAGCCGTTGCCAAAGCTTGACTGATTGTCTGAAAATTATAGAACACACCAAACATGCAGGTTAATAGCTACGCAACATGAGAATAAATATCTCCGGAGTATAATGATCGCTGTAGCTCTTTTAATATGTAATAAGTAGGTTCCTTTTTAGGTACTAAAAACAGTAGAAACCAAAAGAGTAAAGAGGTAATGAGGTTTTCAACTAGAATATGTGAGGAACTTCAGAAACTGAGAGTTCACTTGCCAAAGAAACAACTCAAGAGAATGATGTTTTGCATGAGATTTTCAAAACAAGTTACCCACTCAACAATTTTAGAGTAAAGAACACTTTGCATGATATTTGGGTTTATCAAGAGAGACCTTTTCCAAACAAAGTAAGATAAATGCTTTATATTTTAATTTCACTGAGAATTTTGCTACAGAAAAATTAGATTAGTCTCCCAAGAAAAAATATCGGATATAACGAATACAACGTAAGTTTTGGACAAAGGGATAGTTAATTGATTGAATGAATACAACCTAAAGAATTGTCTCACTTTTGTTTGTTCTCCGGGCAATTAGAATTACAGAGATGGCTCATGAAATTGACATGATTCGGACGTTCTAAAGTAACCCTATAGAAAGGGTTGCCTCCTAAAAGGTTCTAACTGAGCTCAGGGAATCAGATGTCTTAAACCATCGCCCGACCAGCAAAACAATGTTTCAATCTTGAAAACCAGGGTCCATAGAGGAACCTGATTTCTAGACCTTCAAAGGAAGGGGTTGTCATTCTATTGGTCCAAGAGGCCTAATATCATACTTCTACGATCACCCATCATATTCCCCAGGTCCTCTCAGAACTTAAATCTCCAAAAGAATGAATATTGTCTAAAATATGATTCAGCAAATATAAAGAATTGTTGGTTACCTGCTCGGAAATGGGTGACCCATCATCCATATTATGACTAGCAACTTTGCCACCAATGACACTACCATCTGTTTCAAGAATCATCCTGCCAGATTATTCAATAACAAAAAAAAGTTTTAGGTAAAAGTTCTCCCATGTAAAGAGTTACTGGGTAAAAAAGAGGAAGTAGCTTACGTGATTCAGAGAATATGAATAAACAAACTAATTGTTAATTTTTTACCTATATTATCTTTATCTAATAAGAGGACTACGCCTCTATCAGAACACTTGAGGTATGCTTTCTGAATTTCCTATCAGGATGAGGAGCATTTGAACCAAAATGCTTCTACTATAGTTCTGACATGTACCTTTATTTATGCAAATCACTAACACCCCATTAATCTGTTGGCTAAAAGAAGAAAAAAGAAATCAAAAGGGTGGGGTGGTTGGGTTAAAACTTGGGTTTGGCAAAAGGGATGCAGTTATATTGGGCACAAACATTATCGGAGAGTCGCTTAAACTTTAGTAGCCAAACCAATATACATCCTCCAACTGATTCAGCTTTCACTTAAAGAAAACTTTCTGCTTGATCCAATTTCCATGAAGTCCCCC